CACACACACACACACACACACACACACACACACACACACACACACACACGATTCCCCCAGCAGGGGGCAGTGACACACACACATACAGGCCTGATTCCCCCAGCAGGGGGCAGTGAGGCCCCCACTCCCCAGCCCCTCACAGGGTCTGTTTCACATCTCTAGTACGTGACCCAGACGGTGGAGGTGGAGTCCCCCACGACCCTGAGGTCTCTGGTGGAGGCCGAGGAGCGGAACCGGGGGCTGCTGGAGCAGCTCTCCAGCCAGGGGGAGCGGTACCAGCGGCTGGCCGAGCAGCTGCAAGGCTCGGAGGAGGTGACTGCCGGGCTGCGGCACAAGGTGAGCGGGAGCGGCACCGTTGACAGGGTGGGCGGGATTCGAACTCATGCCCCTGCAGGCAGAATACCACGGCTCCTTGTCCTTTGCTGAGAGCCGCGTCCCCTGACATAGAGACCCCTCCCTGGGGGTGGCCATCGGGCACGGGAGGGTAGCCCAGCCCTGCATTCCAGTAGCCCAGACCCCATGAATGAGGGGGCAGGTCCCCGGGGCCCGGGCATGGCAGGTGGAGCTGGGGGAGTGGAGCTGCTCCGTCCAGCCCCCAGAGCAGGCGCTCACCTGTGGAGGGACCGACCTCCCCCGTCCCTCTTCCCAGGCCATAGCCAGGAGCCCTGCCCCTCACTCCTGGGACCCCCGCAACCCCTGGGGAGGGGCAGACGAGCCCTCCCTGGTGACCCGAGGGTCTCCCCGCCTGCAGATCGCTGCTTACGAGTCCGAGATCGCCAAGCTGCGGGAGGAGCTGCTGCGGGAGATCAACCACCTGGAAGCCCAGAAGGAGGAGGCCGTCAAGGAGGCCTCGGAGAGCTCGGAGCAGCACCTGGAGCAGCTCCGCGAGCAGCTGACAGGTACCGCAGGCCTGGGGAGGGGCTGGGGAAGCGTCTCCGAAAGCCCCTGGTCAGGAGGGGATCCTGAGCCGTGAGTGCACAGCACAGATCCCTGCTGGGAGCAGATCCCTGGGGAGTGGATCCCCTGCGCTTGATGGGAGCAGATTCCAGCCCTGCGGAGCGGATCCCTGTGTAGGGCAGGGGTGGGGGGGGTGTACTAGCGAGCGCCTGTTTCTGAGGGCAGCTGCCCCCGGTCTCTGCTCCCTGGCAGGTGTCCAGAGGCGCCTGGCCACGCTGCAGCCCATCCTTAAGGGCATGAAAACCAACTACTCCAGCCTGCGCAGCCAGGTGCGCGACTTCTCCGGGTTCTACGAGGCGGCCATCCGGGAGGCCAGGCGACAGGTGAGGCTGGGGGAGGGGGCTGGCCCGCGGGGAATGGAGGGGGCAGGGGAGGCCCGTGCAGGGAAAGGAGGCAGTTGCTCCTTGTCCCCCAGTCCCTGCCCCCCACACCGGCGGCGCTGGGCGCTCAGGCTGGCTCTGAGCGCGGCCCGGCTGGGGCTGAGTGTCCCTGTCCCCCTAGATGTGCTCGGCCGTCAGCGAGGCGTCGGAGGCCAGCCGGGACCTGCTGCAGAAATACCAGCATGAGGTGCTGCTGCGCAAAAAGTACCACGCCCAGCTGGTGGAGCTGAAAGGTGCGGGGGGAGGGCGGCAGGGGGATGGATTCCGGGCGGGATGGGCCCCGCGCCCCACCCAACAGAGGCCCCAGGGAGCCTGGGGCGGCGGGTCGCTCTCCAGAGCCGAGCATGGGGGGTGTGGCAGGTGTGTAAGGGTTAACTGGCTCTCCGGTGTCGCCACCTGCCTGCTGGGTCCCTGAGCAGCCAATGACAGCTTGGTGCAACTACGTCTTGTGTTTCATTGGCTGAGCAGCTGTGTGGGAGGAGCCAAGACGTTCCTGCTCCGCCTCCTGCTCCTGTAGTTCATAATGAGGAGGGCCAGCTGGGTTCAGCCCCAATGAAAACCAGGTGTGGGGCTGGCTCCAGGCCGCCAGGATCCTGTGACCTGCCCCCGGTCCATGCCCAGGGCTCGGCCCCCTGCGCCGACCCCCGGAGCCCCCAGCCCACACCCAGGGCTTGGCCACCTGCGCTGACCCGCAGAGCCCCCGGCACACGCTGCAGGCTCGGCCGCCGACCCCCGGAGCCCCCGGCCCAGGCCCAGGGCTCGGGCTGCTGTGTCAGTCCCTGTAGCCCTCCCTGCCCAGGCCCACACCCGAGGGCTGAGCTGGGACCTCCAGCCACAGAAGCCTCTTTAGACGTCCCTTCCAATGGGTCTGGGCTGGGACATGCTTTGAGGAGCGAGGGCTGCACCCTGGCGGTGACGGGCGCATACTCCGGGCGTGGGAGCAGGGCCCCGAAGAAGGCAGTGCCCACTGGGCTGGGACCTGAGGGTCCCCCAAAGAGCCAGGGCTCTTGCCATTAAGGGACTTAGCTGCGAATGCAAAGCCCTCCCCAAATACCGGAGACCCTAGAAGTGCCCTCCCCTGGCTCCTGCGCCCCCTCCCAGCCAGGCTGCTGCCCTGCGTGTGGCTACAGCCTTGGGGTGTGGGCCGGCAGGGTGGGGGGGGAATGTTTGCAGACTGGTTGCGGCCTGGTCTCTAGGGCAGCTCAGGCCTTGGTGCTGCTGGTGGGTCCCACCTTGATGTGCTGCCGCTCGGGCTCAGGGCAGTGGGCAGGGATAGGATCGTCTGCAGGCGGCCCTGGGGGGGCTGGGGGTCTCAGCCTGGCTCCTCATGGGCTAGGCATCCTTTGGCACTGATTGGCCAGGGGCTGGCTGGGCCATGGAGACTGAGGGCAGCGTGGCAGGCCCCTGGCTGTCCCGCGCAGAGCACTCCGGTCTCCAGGGCCCCACAGAGCCCCCGTGACCCCGCGTCTCCGCCCCCAGGGAACATCCGGGTGCTGTGCCGCCTGAAGCCGGTGACAGAGGCGGACCAGCAGGAGGGGGAGGTGAGCACGGCCGTCAGCACGGAGCCCGGCAGTGACAGCAGCGTCACCGCCCGCTACAAGGGCAAGGAGAGGACCTTCGAGCTGGACAAGGTCTTCCTGCCGGAGGCCACGCAGGAGGAGGTGACCCGCTGCCCGACTCCCTGCCGCGCCCCATCCCCTCTGTGCCAGCCTGGGCACCCCGGCTTGGCCACCCTATTGCCCCTGAACCCAGGGCGGTGCCAGCCATGAGCCGGGGGCCCAGGTGCCACCCAAGCCCCTGGCAGTCAGGGTCCCAGGGGCATTCTGGCAGCACAGACTGGTGGCAGGACTGGGTCTGAGCTACCTGCGCCGTGCCTGGTGACTCGGTTCCCTGGCTGGGCCGCCCCTCAGAACGGGCCGGGCCCACGGGCATCTTCACCTCAGAGCTGTGGCCCCCCAGGCCGGGGATGGGGGGATGGGAGGGGAGTCTCAAGGCAGCGGCTGCAGCCAGACACTTAGCTCTCCCTTCCCCTCACTGTGCCAGGGCCAGGGGTGCTGGGCCCCTTAGCCATGTCCGTGCCGGTCTCCACGCTGGGCTGGGGAGCGCAGGCACTGGGCCCGTGGGGCTCGGCCGAAGGGCCGTTCCCTGGCGGCCACGAGGGCAGCAGCAGCCCAGCGATTGGGGCAGTTGTGTGGGTGTGGGGAAGGCCCCCTGGATGGGCTGCGTTACCAGGAGCCCCTCCATAGAGCTGCCATGTGGCCAGCAGGCCCCTACCGGGGAGCTGCACTGCCCGGCAGCACTTGGGAATGAGGGAGGGCAGGCCGGGGCGTGTGCCCCCCTCCAGCCCCACATCTGCACTGTGATGGGACGGGGGCGGTGGCTTGCCAGGGGAGCAGAGCCTGGAGCAGCCCAGAACGCTGCGGGGAGGGGAATGGAGCTGGAATGCTGGAGGGGCTTGGGGGACTCCAGAAGGCTGCAGGGGAGGGCAGAGAGTTCCAGGGCGCAGGGAGGTGCAGCGTTCTAGAGGAACCGGGGAAGTGGGACAGGCAGAAGGGAGAAAAGCATTCTGGAAAATGGAGCATGTCAGAGCAGTGCTGGCACTGGGGAGCAGCGGAGGAGGAGGAGAGAGATTCTAGACCACTGGGCAGGATGTGACCCAGAACAGCAAGAGTTGCCAGCATTCTAGATCAGCACGCAGGCCAGGTTGTTCTAGATTGGGGTGTGGGGTGGAGCGTTCTAGCACACAAAGGTGGCCTATAGAGCTCTAGAATAAGAGGTTATAGTGAGCTAGGTGAGCATTTATGGCCGAAATGTGCTAGAGAATTGTCTTGGGAGGGTGGGACATTCTAGAATAGTTAACAGGGTTGCAAAATGCCACGTGGGTTATAGTGTTCTAAGTAAATGGAAATATGGCACATTCTAGATCGATACGGGGAACATTCTAGATTCAAAGTGCAATGGGGTGGTGTCCTAAGATAGCATGTGGGGGTGATGTGGAGTGTTCTACAATGACATGTAGGCTGTGGTGTTCTGAGTCTGTCTATGGGAACAGCTTAGACTGATGGATGACAAAGTGTTCCAGAACAACTTGTGGGGCACGGTACTCCCTCTGCCTGGGTTGGGCAAAGTGTTCTAGAGCAGTGTGAAAGGACTGAGTGTTCTAGAGCAGGGGCTCGGATGAACTGTTCTAGAGCAGAGTGAGGGCTGGCTGCTCTAGATCGGCAAATGACCTGTCGGTTCTAGACCGGTGTCTGGGTAGACTGATCTAGAACAGTGCATGCCTGGCCTGTTCTAGAGCAGCGCATGGCTGGCCAGTTCTAGAGCTCTGTGCGTATTTGTGGGGTGGACTGTTCTAGAGCAGTGTGCAGTCAGTCTGTTCTAGAGCGACGTGCAGCCAGTTTGTTCTAGAGCCGTTTGCAGTCTGTTCTCGACTGGCGTACAGCCAGTCTGTTCTAGAGCGGCATGCAGCCAGTTTGTTCTAGAGCCGTTTGCAGTCTGTTCTAGAGCGGTGTGCAGCCAGTCTGTTCTAGAGCGGCGTGCAGGGGGTGTTGTGTTCTAAGATGCCGTGCGGCGGTGCTCCGTGGTCTGGCAGAGCGTGCTAGGGCCCATCGCAGCGGGGGAGCTCTGGGCACTGCCTCCCCCCTGCAGAGGGCTCGTGAATTCTGCGCTGACCTTTCCACCTGGTGCTTTGTGACCCCTTGATCCCCAGGTGCCTAGCCAGGGACAGGACCCTGGAGCTCCTCCCGGACCGCCAGAGCCATGATTGCCAGGGCCGCAGGTAACTGGCTTCCCCCCCGCACGACTGGCAGCCTCAGCCCCCAGCACTCACCCTGCCTGCTCAGGGCACCCCCTGCACTGCGCCCCTCCCCCCACAGCTCTGCTGGCTGTCACCCGCACTGCAGAACCTGCACCCCGCACCGGGACATGGGTCCCTCAGCCCCCTGCTGACGCCCGTCTGTTTGTCTGCCTCCCGCTCAGGTGTTCCTGGAGATCGAGCCCCTGGTCCTGTCCTGTCTGGATGGCTACAACGTGTGTATCTTTGCCTACGGGCAGACCGGCTCGGGGAAGACGTACACCATGGAGGTAGGCAGCAGGGCCACGGGGCTGAGGAAGGGACCAGTCTGGGTTCGGCCCCACTTAGCCCCACGTGTTCCTGGAACGGCTGGCGCTGGGGTGGGGGAATGGAGAGACCCCGCTCTGCATCCCAGGCCCAGAGCCTCCAGGGACGTGAGAATCCTGCTGCCCCCCAGACAGTCTCCAGCTCTCGGGAACTGGGATCTGTCTCTCTCCCCTTGGGAAGGGGCGTGTCGTCTGTGGGCGTTAGGAGCCGCCTGGAAGCACGGGGCTCAGTGCAGGGGATCCCAACCTGCACACTCTTCCACACGGGTACACACGTGTGTGCCAATGGGCTGTGACGCGCATGGACACACCCACACACGCCTCCATGTTGATGGGACTCTGAGGGGGCCTAGGCTGCCCCCGAGGCCCCCACTTCAGTGCTGGGTGGAAGCCTGAGGCCCTGTCTCTGTCTGGCTCCAGGGCGTCCCCGAGGACCCTGGCATAAACCAGCGTGCGCTGCAGGCCCTGTACCGGGAGATGGAGGCCAGGGCGGGGCTGTGGAAGTACTCGGTGACCCTCAGCGTGGTGGAGATCTACAACGAGGTGATCCGGTAAGAGGGGGCCTGCCCCACGCACCGCTAGGAACACCCTGCCCCCCACAGAACCTTCTCCTCACCCTGCCGCGCAGGCCGGGCACCGCCGGGGAGGCCTGGGCTGAGCCTGGGTCACGGCAGGCTCTGGCCAAGGGACCTACTCAGCACTTCACAGTGACCCCAATACCCAGCATGGGACTAGGGGTGCTGTGCTGGGAGAGGGGGAGGGGGTGTAGCAGGAGGCGCTCTCAGCACTGATTGACAGGACCCCAGAGCGCACTAGGGGACGCTGTGCTGCAGGGGCGCTATCGGCAATGATTGACAGGACCCCAGAGTGCACTAGGGGGGCTGTGCACCAGGGGGCACTCTCGGCACTGACTGACAGGACCCCAGACTCCAAAAATATTAAAGGAACTGGCACATGAAATTGCAAGCTCAATAGCAAGGATTTTTAATGACTCTGTAAACTCAGGGGTTGTACCGTATGACTGGAGAATTGCTAACAGAGTTCCTATCTTTAAGAAAGGGAAAAAAAGTGATCCGGGCAACTACAGGCCTGTTAGTTTGACATCTGCAGTATGCAAGGTCTTGGAAAATTTTTTGAAGGAGAAAGTAGTTAAGGACATTGAGATCAACGGTAATTGGGACAAATTACAACATGGTTTTACAAAAGGTAGCTCGTGCCAAACCAACCTGATCTCCTTCTTTGAGAAGGTAACAGATTTTTTAGACAAAGGAAACACAGTGGATCTAATTTACCTCGATTTCAGTGAGGCATTTGATACGGTTCCACACGGGGAATTATTAGCTAAATTGGAAAAGATGAGGCTCAATATGAAAATTGAAAGATGGATAAGGAACTGGTTAAAGGGGAGACTACAACGGGTCATACTGAAAGGTGAACTGTCAGGCTGGAAGGAGGTCACTAGTGGAGTTCCTCAGGGATCGGTTTTGGGACCAATCTTATTTAATCTTTTTATTACTGACCTTGGCACAAAAAGTGGGAATGTGCTAATAAAAAAAGTTTGTGGATGACACGAAGCTGGGAGGTATTGCTAATACAGAGAAGGACCAGGATATCTCACAGGAAGATCTGGATGACCTTGTAAACTGGAGTAATAGTAATAGGATGAAATTTAATAGTGAAAAGTGCAAGGTCATGCATTTAGGGATTAATAACAAGCTGGGGACGCATCAGTTGGAAGTA